AAGAGACAACTGTTAACACCTATCTCTGCCCTGGAGCTCCTGCAGGGTCAGGGCACAGCCCTGGCTCTCCCCATCAGGGACTGGGGGGTAGCTGTCCAGTCGGGAACCCTGAGCCTGCGCTGTTCAGTACAGTGGCCACCAGCGACAGGTGGCTGTGGAGCATCTGAGATGCGGTTACCGCACTGAGACGTGATGCGATGCGATGCGATGGAAGAAGCCGAGGGAAGGACAGGAGGAGCTGTCTCCCTGGTGGTTTGTGGGTCAGTGGGAGAGCCGGGCAGTGTGTGATCGCCGTCACTTTACTCCAAGGCTGCCCTTTCTCCAGTCTCTCCAGGCTCCACGGTGTCCCTGGCTCCCGCTCAGGAAAGCATCACTCACCAGAGATGGTGAAACCAACCTGGGACACCACTCCCTTCGCGCCCCCTCTCCTGCTTCAAGACACAATCCGAGGGGACGCAGGCCAGTCCCAGTGAAGAAGCGACGGCCAGGTAAAGAGACCATGTGGGGGGGGGGCGTGCGGGGATTGGGTGGACAAGGCATGCAGGGGCCGGACTGCGATAAGTGCATGTGAGAGCAGGGAAGGAAACGGCAAGTATCTTCAACGACTATCTCAACGTACATCGCCACAAAAAGAATCGCACTTCCCTCTTTCCGCGCATCTGCTCAGAGCTTGCGGAGGCTAGCACTCGGAATGTGGCTGGGTTGGGGCATCCGTTCCCAAAGGGGCCAGTTTTGCTGGGAGAGGGTGGTGGGTTGTAGGGTCTGCTGGGGATGAGGAAGGCGAGGGCCCTGCTGTGTGTGTATCTCGGGAAAGGGGGGCCCAGGGCCCTTGGGAAAGGGCGTGGGAGCTAAGGCCCGTTCCCTTATGTCTGTGACTCAGGAGTGAGGAATCAGGATACCAGTCCCTAACTAACTGGGCCCAGGTCCACCAGGCCTTGTCCTTTGGGGTCTCTTTGGAGACCCTGGGGGGCAGCACCTGGGGATTTGAGTCAGGACCTTTGTCTGGGTCAGGGGGACGCAGTTGGAAGGGGAGGGTCGAAAGCAGATGGGTGAGGTCTCTGGGGGCAGAGGGATCATGGCCCAGGCAGAGGGTGGAAGAGACACTGGCTGAGAGGGTCATCCAGTTCAACCTGGGTCACACAGGATAGAGTGGAGGTTGAGTACGGGTTCGAGTCAGACAGAACTGGACCTGAGTCCTAAGTGAGGTTGGGCAAATGGCTTCATCTCTCTGAGCCTCACTCTCCTCATCTACAAAATGGGTTGATCCCAGCAGGACCTCCAGGTCTATGGAGAGGAAGGTGGCAGGTAATGCATTTGGTTCATAAGAGCTTACTCATATCCCCTGCTGTTATTAGTACCGACAGGAGCTCTTACCACTACAGAAATAGGAGTAACAATAGTAGTTACAGCCCAGCCTCTTTAGCTCCTGAAGGGGCTTTTTTTCTTTTTTCTTTTAAAAAAATATATTTTATTGATTTTTTACAGAGAGGAAGGGAGAGGGATAGAGAGTTAGAAACATCGATGAGAGAGAAGCATTGATCAGCTGCCTCCTGCACACCCCCTATTGGGGATGTGCCTGCAACCAAGGTACATGCCCTTGACCGGAATCGAACCTGGGACCCTTCAGTCCCCAGGCCGACGCTCTATCCAGTGAGCCAAACCAGCTAGGGCAAGGGGCTTCTTTTCTGATCGTCACAACGGGGGACTGCTACTGGCATCTCGGGGTCAGATGCCAGGGATGCTGCCAAAACATCCTACGATGCATGGGACAGTCCCTACCACAACGAAGTCTCTGGCCCACAATGCGACAGCCCAAGGCTGAGAAACCTGCGGAGGCTGCGCTGTTCAGCAGGGTGCCACCCGCGACAGGTGTCTGTGAAGCGTCTGAGATGCGGTTACCACACTGGGATGTGATGTGCGTATAGAATACACACTGAATTCCACAGACTTCATATGAAAAAGAGGTTGCAAACGACCTAATACATAATTGTTGTATTGATTACGAATTGAAATGCTAATATTTTTGCACATAGTGGCTTCAATAAAGTGTATCACGAACATCAATTTCACCTATTTATTTTACCTTAAAA